CATTTTAGATATGTTCCTAATACATGAGATACACACTCATGTGTGTGTGTGTGTGTGTGTGTGGTGTATAGTATATCTATATAATTATATATATATATGTATAATAAAGTAAAGGCTAGCTACTAGTGGTCCATCAGCAGGCAGCAACCTGAATTTTGGCAGCATGACCAGCATTTGATGTGAAGGCATAGCACCAGCCCATCCCCAGCACCGAAGATGACTGGATTGGTGGGCACCTGGCGGTATATGGCACCAGAGGTCGTGAGGCGTTCTCAGTACAACGAGAAAGTGGACATCTACTCCTTCAGTTTGATTTTGTACCTGATTTTCTCAGGCCGGCAGCGGCTAGGCTGCAGATGAAAATGATTATTTGTAGGAAGGCACCTGTGGGATGTCCAGGTTGAAGTATCCTGATGAAAGATCCTTCGATAATAGGTAGGTATGGTCCATGTTTACCTCAAAACAATAATGCCATGGTGGCCTTGAGGTTGTGTGATTTTGAGACATCGTTTGCCACCAAGGCCCTGGTATGCTTGGGGCAATGACGGGGAAGCCATTTTGAAGGCCTACGTCGAAGGTTGGGAGACCGGGATATCCGGGGGACATTTCGATCGTTGCCAAGATGTTGATCAAATCAAATCCCATGCCCATTTCGGGTCTACACCAAAGATATCCAAAGATTGCAGAGTTGAACATCAAGTCATAGCGTTAAGGATTATCGGGATTATCCATCATGATGCCATGATGCCCCAGAAAGTCATAAACCATCATATATACCTATCATAATTAATTAAACAAATCAAGCAAAGTTGAAACACCCAGGGTCTCCGCGGGTCTCCCACGAGGCAAAGAACCTCGACCATCTCTTGACTCCGTGGGAAGTTGTGAGCTGCAGGGCTTTTTACCAAAGCTTTGGCACAGAGATGCAGATCAACGACCTTCGGCAGAGCAATGTGTGGAACGGCTTTCACTGATGAAACCGCCTGGTCTGAAGCTCGGATACGCACTAAGCTTGGCAGCATGTTGGACTTTTGTCGCTTTTGCTCCTGTCCAAGGGGTAAACATACAGAGACAATCAATAAAACATGAAGCACATAGTTCCCCACTAAGTCGTTTATGACATGATGGATTTTCATAGATTTTCTAGCTGATAGGTGCAGGGTATAGTTCTGCTAGATGAAACTGCCAGGATTTGCCAACTTGCCAACTTCCAACGTCAGGAGGGACACCATGCGACTCTGCACTCCCTGGACTAAGCGCTTCAGTTGGCGCCAGTGAGCCAATGCCGCGATTGGTTTGAGTGGAATTCGACGCCGGCTCAGCATGCATCAGAATTGGGTTTGTTGTAGATCAATGCAGAAATGATAATGACATGTGTTTTATAGATAATGACAATGATTTATACTGATTATACTGTATGTGTTTAATTTATGTTATATTATATTATATTATATATTATATTATATTATATTATGTTATTTAAATTATGTTATACCTATAAGTAATATATCATTTGCTTCGGATGTTTGAAACATGTTTGTTGATGGGGGTTACCAGGTTGATGTCGTAGCCATATTATGTTTATGTTGCAGAATTGAATCAATAGCTAGTTACAGCTTCCAAGAACCCCATGCTTCGGATGCATGTTGCAAACAACTGCGACTGGCAAATGCGAAGGAAATTTGAAGATTTGCACGCCTCCAATGCACAGCATAAGAAGGTTTTGGCAACCACTGCCTTCCGTAGCTTCTTGTGCGACACCTGGTACTGTATACAGGGATAGGTGTGGCCAACTGCTTGCACAGCGACGTGTTGCATGCTGTGGGATTTGACAGCAGACGGCATTGATTGATGAAGACGGTTTCTGTTTAAAGGCTTCGTCCTTTGAAGTATTTAATGCCAGGGGAAAAGCCTGCCTATGTGTTCGTCCGTCCTGAAAGGGTAATCAATAGATAGAATAGACCTGAGTGTGGCCTGAGGCGCTTCTTTCCTCTGACTGCCAGAGAATGTCTGGAAATGTCAAACTCATCAAGGGCAGCAGCCAGGGTGAGACAGGCAAGAAAAAAAAACGCGGTTCGACACTTGGAGTTGCTGGCATGCGAGAAGCTGCAAGTTTTTCAGCATGTTGTGGCCATCTGGCCACCATTTGAGATCAGGGAGGATCTCAGCTGCAGCGGGGAAACACGATATTGATACTTTGAATCTGTGCACACTAACCGTCACCAACCACAGGAAGTCAAGTCGGGTGATTTTTTGTCTTCCAAAAAATCTTGAAAACATAGGTCCCCCATGGGTCTCAAACCCATTTATCCATTGGTTATGGCCCGGTTATGGCAGGTGCTCCACGGCCGCGTCATTGGCCAGAACGAGGCGGTGACCGCAGTGGCCAAGGCTGTGCGACGTGCCAGGGCTGGGTTGAAACCTGACAGCACTGAGGCGGGGGTAAAACAACATCTGGTTATTTAACATAGCCATGGAAAATCACCATGTTCAATAGGTAAACCATCTATTATAAATGGGTGATTTTCCATGGCTATGTTAAATAACCAGAGGGTAACATGATGTAACACTCTGGTAATTTAACATACCGGTAGCTATTGAAAATGGCCATAGAAATAGTGGATTTACCCATGAAAAATTGTGATTTTCCATAGTTATGTTAAATTACCAGAGGGTAACACACACACATATATATATATATATGTATAATATATATTATATATATTATACTGGGTAAATTACTGAAAGAAAGACCTCACTGCGACTGAAGCCTGGAATCATAGTTAATGAGGGAAATCATCCCAAAATGGCCTTAATTCAGGTTAGTGAAATATTATGATTTACCCAGATAGGCAATCAAAGCAGCCATGAACTGCTGAATGTCGCAAATTTTTGTGACCATAAATTTGCAATTATAGATGATTTACAAAGCAGTACTTCTTAGGAATCTCTAGGAATAAAATAGGTTTGGGCATAATTGAGGAAAAATCGGAATTATCGGTTCTAACATCCTCTAACCTTACAGCTGTCATAACTGAGGTGTCCAATCGAATGATTTGTTGCTTTCAATGCTCAACATGGCATGATGATCCTACGTGACTTTAATCGTTTGTGAGATTTGTTTGCCAACCAGTGGTATTGGGAATGAACCCATGTCAATTGCATTGAATCCAGCCATTTGATCCTTTTCCCATCTTTCCACCGTTGTTCAGGGTTGATCTGTGGTAGGCTAGATTAGGCTAGTATGTTGATGGTTTGGTTTCCATGTTGGATTTGTGGGCAAGCCTGGTGGACGTGTTTGTGCATCAAGGAAGAACCCAAATCGGCCCATTGCCTCCTTCATTTTCTGCGGACCAACAGGCGGGAGCGTGTTGGAACACCTTGTTTATCTGAGAGTTTTGTGTCACAAGTTGTGTCGTTCATGGTCCTCCTAGGCGTGGGCAAGACAGAACTTTGTAAAGCTTTGGCCGCAGCCTACTTTGGCAAGGAGGTGCGTCCGGGAAGGGGAAAGAACTTAGCCGGCTTTGGGAACCAGTGGTAACATGTAATTTGGTGTTTCATTCAAATTCCTTACAGTGACTGGCCCCGAAATTTATCAAGTTGAAACTTTAAGTAGCAACCGGATGCGTTCAAGAAAGACGGTCCTAGAAGCTCAAGTCACATCCCTGAAGAGCGAGGACAAATGCTGAAACATGCTGAAACCACAGTCAAACAAGGGGCCAATACCCGGGGCAAGGGTTATTTGATGCAATTTGCCACTTGTCGCCGCCTATATGGAGTGAAACAAAATGAAATAGCCCAGGTTTTTCTAGGCCCATCGGGTCAGGGTGCTAACAGGTGCCTCCTTCAACTGCCACGCCACGTTTCAGGAAGCCATGATCCGATTGGATATGTCCGAGTTCATGGAGCGACACACCGTGTCCAAGCTGATTGGAAGCCCTCCCGGCTACGTCGGCTATGACGAGGAGAGCCAGTTGACGGATGGCATCCGCAGAAAGCCCTACAGCTGCGCTGCCGCATTGGAGACGTTCCCAGGAAATCCCAGGAACACGGTCTTGGGATGTTTTGCGATTGAAGATTTGCAAGGCATACCCGGCATAGCAGCTAAATGTCACAAGCTGCCACTACCAAGTAGTATGAATACGATAATTGTATATAATATTGTATACTTCGGCATGTGTTTGTCATTCATTGTCAATGTATGTCAATTGAATATCAGAGTCACAAGTTATTTGTGGATTTTGTGGCACAACTTTTGGCTGCCTGAACTTTCGAACGCCAAGGTTTGGTGCTCTTCGATGAGGTGGAGAAAGCACACCCTGATGTCTTCAACCTTATGCTCCAGATCTTGGAGGCAGGGCTCAGAGCCAATATTCAACTCCTGACATCCCACAGATGATGCAATTGATATGCTATGTTGATGTATGTTGCCATTCTGAGTGATATATATACGCACGAAGATACATATATTATGTGAATGCATGAATATAGTATATAATCATGTATTTTAGGATCCCCGCATCGCTTATGGACTCTGTGCGTCAGGATGGACGGCTCACAGACTCGAAGGGCCGAGTGGTCTCCTTCAAGAACGCGCTGATTATCATGTGGCTTGGCAGCGTTGGTTGCAGGCAATTTATGTCATATGTCCATATTTGAGCATATTTGAATATATTTGAGCTATACGTGCTGCTGTAGATACCTGTAGATAATGTAAATGTGAGTCATGTGAGATATGCATTTTTTGAAAACTGCTCTTTCTTACTATGTTCCTACATGTGTGACTTAATTTTATTTACTATGTTTACATATATATCTAAATCTAAATCTATATAAACTATATTCTATTGTATTCTCTCACTAGGTTTGTTTGCTCTCATAAGCCCTTAAAAGAAAAGCGCCGCAGCGAGGACTTCCAACGTGGGCGCGAAGGCCATCGAGAAGGGTATCCAGGGCGGAGGTGGCATTGGCTTCTCCGGCCTCGAGGATGGTGAGGACGCGGAGACCTCCAGCTACAAACGCCTCAAGACGCTGGTGTTTGATGAGCATCTCAGCGAAGTTTCCAGGGGAGATGAAGAATTATAGGAATGAACAAAAGACAAGACTTGGATAGGAATGTAAGGGAAATGTAAGGGAAATCAGTGAAATCGCACATGATTTTCATTAGCCAACAACTTGATATTCGGATGTCCTGAGAACGGGGCTTTCCAGCATTCTCCAACAAAAACTTGCCATTTCAAGGGAATAATTACAGCCCGTATGAATTTATCAGTAGACCTCGGGATACACAGCACAATTTTGGACATTTTGGACAAACCAATGTATCAAGAATGGAACAGGAATGGCTATGCGGCTATACAATATGGACATATATGGACAGAGGGTCATTTTGGCGGCTCGTGAGGCTCAAGAACTTCTTCAAACCAGAGTTCCTGAATCGATTGGATGAGGTCGGTGGATGTCGGAGGGGTGGAATGCTAAGGAACCACCGGTGATTCGCTACCGTCAAGCAACTCTAGTAACGTTAGTAACTGCAGTGCTGTTGATGGTGCTGATGGAATCCTAGGCCTATGGATGCCTATGGCATTCCTAAGACAAAGGCTATCCAGAGTGTCATAGGGGGTGGCCCAGGGACACACCAAGAATATTCAGATAAGTATCACAGATATACAACAGTCCTGGACTCGGATGAGGATGTCCGAACTTTCTGCATTCACATTTGCAAGTTTTTTCAGGCCTTTAATAGTAACACTTTGTCAATTTAGGAACATTGTTCAAGCAGAAGCCTTTTGGGGGTACCTTTTGAGGCACTGAAAAATCCACAAGCCGACGAGTTTACGATGTTCTCAGGTGATTGTCTTCAGATCACTCACCAAGCCAGAAGTGAGTCAGATCGCGGAGCTGGAGTGGCTCTTGATAAATTTTGGAATGGGAGGATATGGGCAGAATTTTTGCAGGAATCATACGAGCATAAATAGATATAAATAGCATAAATAGACACATAAAGTGTCACAAATGTAAATGAGAATAATTGCAATAGTCAATTGAAGACGTTCTTTCAGAATTAAATCATATTGTTGGCGCATGGTGTGGCCCAGGGAGTGGCAAATTTTCCCATTTGCAAATGCCCAGGTTCAAGAAGACCTTCAGCCGTACCAAGGAGAGAGGCGTCTCGAGGGCGACCAGTGAGGTTTATGGTGCCATATGGTGCCTATGTATAGCACATCATTTGTCATTCGATATCATTCGCGTATATTCAAGGCAAAGGCTTAAGGCAGTTTTAAATCATGTCAAAGCATTTTAATGTTGATATTAATGTTTATATGTAGCTTGAGAACTCAGAATTACTATTGCTACGTATTGCTACATGTAATGTTTGTTTTGTTGTGCGACCTTTTAATGTTTGCGCTGTCCGACGGCTGCAAAAACCTGGAGTGTGACGGGGCATCCCGACAGGCATCCACCTGCGGATGACCGACAAGTTCAAGCAAAAGGTGCCTTCCTTTTTTGACTGGCGACATTATGCTACATTGCCACATATTGCCACTTCCAAAGAACATCAAAGAACTATCACAACTTGTGCCAATGAATGTCAATGAATGTCAATGACCACCTTTGGGGACCATAGTATGCCATTGTTGTTATTTGATGACTGTTTTAAGCAATCAGTGACAGAATGGCCCCGAATGTGAATCGCCACATCCCCGTGCGGAGGTCGTAGATGAGGGCTTTAACCCCACCTACGGCGCGCGGCCCTTGCGGCGGGCAATCATGCGATTGGTGGAAGATGAGTTGGCGGAGTCGTTTTTAAAGGACAGCGACCAAAAGTGGTCAGATAGTGGTCAGTTGGAGGGCACGTACCCTCCAATCATTGGATAGATATTGGATTAATTTCAAAGGAAAAATCCGAAAATTGGAGAAGACCCTAGTATTTGATGGGGAAACCCCTGCATCCTAATGATCCAAGGATTTGAACATGTGGAAAACTGTAGAACTCATCAAGTCCATGAGAGGAACTAAGTTTTTCGATGGTTTTCATGTTTAGTGTTGGCAGATGTCGAGTGGGCGCATAGCATGACAGGGAGTGGTTTTATGAAATTTGAAGGGGGGTTGGTGACAAGGAGCCCACTAGAGAGGGCGAGCATATCCTGATGGATGTGAATGCAGACGGAAACGCGTGGACCTAAGACTCCATTCACAGGTCCAAACGAATTACAACCCTGGAATTCTTTGAATGGGCATTTGTTTCTACCAAATTTCACATCGAAATAACCGCAGATTGAAGCACTGCTTGCCCCTCAGGTCTTGATTCTTCGAGACCAGCCTGCTCCGGAGGGCGAAGCCGAGGGTGAGGAGATGTTGAGCGTGCATTGTGTTGTAAATGTATGTAAATGTTGTACCCTCATCACGAAGACTAAAAGATTTCAGATACAGTAGCAAGTAGTAATACCATGTAATACCTGCCTTTACCTGTCTTTTTTTATGCGCAGGCATACCATGGCATACCTTTGAAATCTTTTCGCCGGGCAGATCCATTGGACCAGGAGATGAAAGTGGTAGAGACGACAGCCGCCTAAATGACAGCAACCTCGAGTTTTGACCTGTACTGTTAATGGGAGCCGTGCATCTAGACCAAGTGCGCGTGTGGAAAAATGTCATTGAAGATGGAACTGTCCCTGAGTTCAGGATTTGTGTTTGTGAAGCGATGCAATGACTAAGAATTCTCAGGCATATATACTGTATATAAGGGTATGTTTGACCCTACTTTTGGTACTTATTTGGAACATGACCCATTGTAAGGCAATATGACTACGGGATCCTATGCAAGTCCCATGCATTTTTGCGACACGAAATGCACCTGAAGGAAACACTGCTCAAACTATCTCGCAGAGACAGGACTGGATGAATGAACTCTTTGCCCAAGTTTTTCGGAGCAAAACTTTGGGCCCAGTCAGATCAGTCAGTGAGTGTCACTGCAGTGTCACATGGTCGTGGTCCATTCATGGTCCATCCATGGTATTCTGCTTCCGACAGAGCCACGGCCGGTGCCGCTGGGGAGCACGGCGAAGCTGCCAGCGAAAGGCAGGGTGAATTTTTCCAGGGAATGGTGACGTCTCATCAAGGTGCTTAAAACATGCTTTAAAGTCTTAAAACATGCATCCCCGAAGCTGCACGAAGAGCAGGCGTTTTGTTTTGGCAGATCCCAGTGTGCGGGTCGAACTTGTTTTGGGCACGACTCCCGGGATTAACTATAGACATTGAATTTACAATGTGTGTGTGTGTGATTGTGTGTGTGTGTCACTTTTCACTTCAAGGCTGAACCAAGCCTAATCGCCTTGGTTAGATAGCCTGTACACCATGGGTGCCGTGTGCAGCGAAATTGCCAAAGCTGAGCCCCTCAGAGATGAGATGCAACCAAGTCCGCACAAAGCAACTGATGGCTGTCAATTGAGAGATGCCCCTGCGGAACTCTCATCCGGGCCAGTGGCTTTGTGTAGCTTGAGCGATTCTCTCGGGGATGCCAATGTTTTGAGTGCAGTGAGTACCCAAATCGGTCTGGATTCCAAAGATGATTTTTCCGAGCAGAGCTTTGCATCGATCTCCAGAAACCTCAGAGACCTGTCCTTGCTGGTGGACCCCAAGGAAGTCATTGTAAAGAAGGAACTTTGTACCACCTGCAAGAGCACAGTGTCCATTGCAAGCTGGAAAGGCAACTTGATTGCGGCAAAACAGCTGAAGGTGGATCTTGAGGAAGACTGGGAGAGCAAAGAGAACACCATGAAGGAATTGATGAATGAAATTACCATCCTCAGTGAGATCAGTCATCCCTGCTTGGTCAAGCTTCTTGGGGCCAACCTGGATTCAGCCGAGCCGCTTATTCTCACTGAGCTGCTTGAGAATCAAGATGTGGAGACACTTGAATGCAACATCAAGCCACAATTTTCAGGGAAGTCTTGATTGAAACAGTCCAGAAACATCCTGAAATCTAAAGCATGCAATGCATTGGAATGCTGTCGAACTCATTTCGCAGTTGTTGCTGATGCACAAACATGGCAATAGTTGGCTATGCAGTGGTATGATGCGTACAATAATTACTACTCTTCGATGTAATGCTATGTGAGCGGCTCTTTTAGTGAGATCCTTCTAGAAGGTTTGTTCAAAGGCTAAGCTGAAAGGTCAAGCACAGTCATAGTCCCAGATGCAGTGTGGCAATAGTCTATGTATGTCTATGAAAGTATTTAATTTAATTTCAGATGGAGTGCATGCGTCGTGTCCAATTTCATTTAAGATCAGCTTCTCAGTGAAATCATCCCCTTCAAACATCTTTGAACTGCCGGAGATCTTGCTGCAAGGACCTACATGCTCAAGCAGAGGACTTCCTCCGTCGAGGGTGTCTTCAAGCCGCATTTCAGCTTGGCAATGCGTTGGGCTTTGAATACTTGTGAGGCATTGGCGTATTTGCATGGCCTGTCACATCCCATCATCCACCGCGACCTCAAGCCGTTGAACATGTTTCTCACAAGGAGTTTGGAGGTCGCTTGAGCGGTTTGGATGATTCAATATGATTCAGATGATTCATGTATGCACTTCGGGTTGCCATTCCATGTTTGGGTAGAGGAATTGGATGGAATTGGTCACTGGGTGGATGTGGGTGGGCAGGGACATGTCGAATGCATGCATACACATGTGTGACGACAACACCTGGATTTCAAAGAAGCCATGCCGATAAAGCAGCAGTCCACAAGTGTGAACGCCCCCCCTCATTCTAAAACTGCGTGGGCAGCCTTCAAGAAGAAGAGCTATCCAATCTTTGGATATTTATGGTTTGTTGTGGCCCTAGAGGCTATGTAAAGCTGTCGATATGGATGGATCAACAGAGTCTGGAGTGGGTCATAGCATGATAGGCATGATGCAAGAAGGATCCAGAATGGGAATGCTCATGTATATAGTATGATGTATGTATATAATATGAGAGCAACCGTCAAAACTCGCGGATACTAAGATATGTATTGGCTGGACATTGGTTTTCAGAAGATGCAAAAAACTGAGGTTAGCGGTGGGACCTTTACAAATAGCGATACCCCATTGAATAATTAATAATGATATTTAATTTCATGATATGTCATGAGTGTTGATTTCGTCAAGTGCTCGCATCGATGATAGACTTGGGCTCATGTTTGAAAGAAAAGGAAAGGAAAAGGAAGGGAAAAGGACAGGAACAGGAAAGGAAAATGAAAGAGAAAAGACAGGAAAAGGAAAGGGAAATCAAAGCGGAAAAAAAGGAAACAAAAGGAAAAGGACAGATAAAGGAAAGAAAAAGGAAAGAAAAAGAGAAGGAAAAGAAAAGAAAAGTGAAAGGAAAGGGAATGCAAAAGGAAAGCAACAGTTTTACAAGCAAATGATAATGCACTCGCCTGATTCTGCAAAAAAAACGCGTCGATTTTAGCGATACAATAGCGATGCCTTAGCGATACCCAAGCGATACCGAAGTTCTCCCAAGTGCACAAGATCCCCAACTACGTGCACTTGTGCTTCTACTTCTACTGCTACTTCTGCTACTTCTACTACTTCTACTTCAACCACTACTACCACCACAACTATCGCCACTACTACTAATTGCTGCTACTGCCACGACCACTAACGCTACCACTACTACCACTACTACCACTACTACCACTACCACTACCACTACTACTACTACTGCTACTACTACTACCACCACCACCACCACCACCACCACGACTACAATTACGACGACGACTACTAGTACTACTACTACCACCACTATTTTTACCAATAGTACCGCGCAAGGCGGTGGCGGATGTTTCAAAAATAGAAAAGTTGTGAATCACGGATGGCAGAGCGAATCCACTGATGGACCGAAAGGTGGTTGGAGCTGTGTTTTTTTTGAGTGGCTGCAATGGTTGCAGTGGTCACCTGGTCGGTCACCTCACCCACAACTGCTGGATGTAGTGTGGCGTAGTGCAGCTGTAGTTGTAGTTGTAGTGTAGTGGAATTGTAGTTGTGGTGTAATGTAATTAGTGTAGTGTAGTGAAATGTAATGTAATGTAATGCAATGTGGGGTAGGGTAGGTAGTGTAGTGTAGTGTAAATGAGTGTAGTGTGCTGTGGTGTGGTGTAGTGTGGCGTAGTGTAGTGTAGTGTAATGCAATTAGTGTAGTGTGTAGCGTAGTGTAGTGTCGTGTCGTGTCGTGTAGTGTGTTGTGTAGTGTAGTGTGTTGTGTAGTGTGGTGTAGTGTGGTGTAATGCAATTAGTGTAGTGTAGTTGCAGTTGTAGTTGCAGTTGTAGTTGTAGTGTAGAGTAGTGTTATGTAATGTATTGTAGTTGTAATTGTAGTTCTAGTTGTAGTTGTAGTGTAGGGTAGTGTTATGTAATGTCTTTTAGTTGTAGTTGTAGTTGTAGTTTGTGTAGTGTAGTGGAGTGGAGTGGGGTGTAGTGTAGTGCAGTGTAGTGTAATGTAATTAGTGTAGAGTATTGTGGTCTTATGTAGTTGTAGTTGTAGTTAGTGTGATGTGATGTAGTGTAATGTAGTGTAGTGTAGTGTCATTAGTGTAGTGTAATGTAATGTAGTGTAGTTGCAGTGGCAGTTGCCGTGGCAGTTGCTGTTGTAGTTGTAGTTGCAGGTGTAGTGAAGTGTCATTCAGTGTAGTGTAGTGTGGTGTGGTGTGGTGTGGTGTAGTGTAGTGTAGTGTAATTAGTGTAGTGTAGTGTAGTGTAGCGTAGTGTAAATGTAGTATTGTTGTATTTGTAGTTAGTGTAGTGTAGTGGTATGTGGTGTAGTGTAGTGTAGTGTATTATGATGCAGTGTAGCGTAGTGTAAATGTAGTATTGTTGTAGTTGTAGTTGTAGTTAGTGTAGCGTAGTGTAGTGTAGTGGAATGTAATAATGTAGTGTAGTGTAGTGTAATGTAGTGGAGCGTAGTGTAATTGAGTGTAGTGTAGTGGAGTGTAGTGGAATGTAGTGTAGTGTAGTGTAATGTAGTGAAGTGTAGTTTAATTGAGTGTAGTGTAGTGGAATGTAGTGGAGTGTAGTGTGCAGTGTAGTGTAATTGAGTGTAGTGTAGTGGAATGTAGTGAAGGTGTAGTTGTGGTTGTAGTGTAGTGTAGTTGTAGTGTCGCGAAACGATATCTAAACGTCCAAAAGTGGTGGAACCCCTGCTGTTTTTAACATTTTGACTTGGAAATGTGCTTCGCGCCGCAACAGCGTGCACTTTTTCGACATCTCAACTTCCAAAAGTGGTCCGGAGCTGAGGTGTTTTGTACATTTTGACTTGGAAATGTGCTTCGCGCCACAACGGCGTGCACTTTTTCGACATCTCAACTTCCAAAGCTGGTCCGAACGTGAAGTGTTTTTTGCTTTTTCACTTGCAAACGTGCTTCGCGCCACAACCGCATGCACTTTTTCGACATCTCAACTTCCAACAGTGGTCCGAACCTGGTGTGTTTTATACTTTACTTCGAAATGTGCTTCGCGCCACAACAGCGTTCAATTTTTCATCTCTCATCTGGCCAGCTAGCTCCGCACCCGCCGCTTTAGCGAGCCTACTTGTCGACCCTCTTTCTTCTGAGACTTTCTCTTTTGTGATATTCTTTCTTCTTCTCTTCTCTTCTCTGACTTTGCGTTTCATGTGTCCATATTGTCGGAAGTTTGTCTTCTCTACTACTACTACTACTACTACTCCTGCTGCTACTGCTACTGCTACTGCTACTGCTACTACTACTACTACTACTCGTACTCCTACTACTACTACTACTACTGCTACTGCTACTGCTACTGCTACTGCTACTAGTAGTAGTAGTAGTAGTAGTGGTAGTAGCAGTAGTAGTAGTAGTAGCAGTAGTAGTAATAGTAGTGGTAGTAGTAGTACTACTACTACTACTACCACCACCACCACCACCACCACCACGACTACGACTATGACTACGACTACGACGACAACGACGACGATGACGACGACGACTACGACGATGACGAAGATGACTACGACTACGACTACGACTATGACTACGGCTACGATTATTAGATTTCCTTCTGCTATCACTGGATTGTGCTACTAGCCTTGCTAATATTTCTAGTGCTTCTAATTTCTTAGTACTATTTTTACTATTACTAGCGCTGCTAGCATTTCGAGTACTCTCAATATCTTGGTAGAATTAATAGTAGCACACACGAGCATGACTAGTAGTACAAATACAATATCATATCTACTTTAGCTGCCTTTAGCTTTAGCGATACCCCCTGTAAATCAATATGGCACAATGATGTCAAAATTGCTACGAAACTGTGGTTAGCGATGGAACCTTTCCAAATTATGCTGATGCCCTTTTCATGAACAAGGAGTTTTGACAGCCGCACATATAGCTATATGAAATTCAACGCATTTCAACACGCTGTCAGGTGAAAATCGGTGACTTTGGCCTTGCAAAGGTGATGCCTTCGAGGTGCTCACAGAGAGCTGATCTCCAAAAGGAAGGAAACATAAACAAAGATTCGTATGACAAATCATGTCCTTCCCCTCATTTGTGTGGTTACCTAAATCTTAACAATCAGATGTGAATTTGTCCTTTCCGTTCACAGGTTTTTGGTGGTGGGCTGGGTTGAATTGTTGCAGAATGTTGCACATGCAAAACAGCCGCCTCTGAAGGAGCGACCGGGCACCAAAGATGTCTGGGGGCGTTGGCACATGGCGCTACATGGCGCCAGAAGTGGCGCGCTACGAGCAGTATGACGAAAAGATCGATATCTTTGCTTTCAGTTTGATCCTCTACTTCATTTTCTCTGGGACGCAGTGCCTTTGAGCGGTTCATGACGTGGTGGGCCGGTTCGTTCTTTGATCCACTTGAGGATCTTGAGGTGGTTGACTATGCTGGGTCAGGTCCTCCCCATTCCCGAAGGGCCTGTAAAGCCCGCCCGTAAGGGCTCATAAGGCCTGTAAGCCCGTAGAGGCCCGTATAGAGGCCCGTATAGAGGCCGGAAGGCCCGCAGAGCCCGCAATGCTATCATCCATGAAACAGCCGCCAGAAAGTTCCACTTGTGGAAGGCAGCGCAGCGTAGTGTGGCAAAATTATTTTCTTCGAGTGAACCCCACCAACTGACACGTTACGACATATATTCTAACATTCTATCTGGCATTTTTTCTGACATTCCATCTGACAGGGTTGGTGGCAGATGTTCCGGTCCTGCGCGCCCAGACTGAGCTGGAATAATAGGAGGTAATGTTAGACAGTGAAGAGCGTAGCAGCCACACACACACATATATATATATACATAGTAGGAATTGTGTTGGAAAGCCAAGATCGTAGCAGCAAAAACGTAGTAGGAACTAGTGTTTGAAAGCCAAGAGCGAAGCAACAACAAACAGGAAGTTATGTTGGCAAGCCAAGAGCATAGCAGCAAGAATGCAATAGGAAGTCATGTTAGACGGCCAAGAGCGCAGCAACAACAAACATAATAATTAATGTTGGATACTGATTCGTGTAGGCCCCCCCCCTCTCCTCAAACACATTTTCTTGGGGATCAGGTCTGGTGAACTCAGCATGATCAACTTAAGTAATGTTTTCACCTCAAAGAATCTATTGATAAGAAAGGATTTCAATTGAAATCAATTTACTTTCATTTCATTTGAATTTACTTTCGACTGATTTTCCTTTTAAATTTATTAAACAAACTCCCCACAAATTTTTGTGCACGATAGGGTGCCATCCAAACAATTACATTATTGAGGATCTGGGTCACTCATATGGGGTACCCCCTTGAAAAATTGTTTGGTTGCTGCTTTTTTAACAAGGGTTTAAGGCAGCTAATGAATTATTTGGAGAACCTTGCATTTTCAACTCTTTAAAATGGATATTAGGGGTCTTGTAAAAACCCCGAACCCTTCCAAATGGTTTTTCCACACGTTATCGTTTTTTCCTCTTATCGTTTTTCCAAGCGCTGGCTTCACACCTTGACCAAAGGATTCACATGAGCGAGGAAAGGGAGAAGGAAAAGGAAGAGTAAAGGAAGGGAAAAGAAAGAATAGGAAAGGGAGAGGAAAAGGAAAGGGAAAGGAAAAGGAAAGAAATAGGACCGAATAGGAAAGGAAAAAGGAAAGAAAAAGGAAAGGAAAAAGGAAAGGAAAAGGAAAAGGAAGGGAAAGGAAGAAGGAGAGGAAAGGGAGAGGAACAGGGCCGTGTCTCACACGGACCATTTTTGATGCCAAAAGTTATCGTTTTCGTTTGTGAATCCTGTCTACGTTCCTTTTTTCTGGAAATGGCTTCAATCATCAAAAAAGGAGTGTAGCGACCACCTACCAGGCACCTTCCTTGTGCAAAATCTGACACGCATTCGTTGGCGCGCAATTATGACAACAAACAATGAAATGAAGAAAACAAAAACACTAAATAGCTGCAGAACAACGGATAAATAAAAAACATTGGATTTCAAGAGTCTGGACACAGAACGTTATCATTTGTTTTTTCCTCTTATCGTTTTTTCGAGTGAAAGCTAAAAATGGTTCATGGGGGATCATGGAAGACTAAACGAATAGGCGCGGGGTTTTTGCAAACTGGTTTTCTAAAGTAAATGGACCAGCTTTACCGTAAGAAAGGTGTATCAAGGTGGATAAAGTTCCTCCTGAAAAATATGGATCTGAGGAAAAAAATCTCACAATAAAGGCCGACCTCCACCATTTGCAGGATATTCAATAATCTTGAAAAAATCTCGCAATGGGGTCACATGACACTAATCAGTATACTTCATTAGTACGAAGTTATGGTCCGAAACCAATAGCGTAGCAGCAGAAACGTAGTCTGAAGTTATGTTGGAAAACCCAGAGCTTAGCAGCAAGAACTAGTAGGGAACTATTTTGGAAAGCCACGAGCGTAGCAGCAGGAACGTAGTCGGAAGTTGTGTTGGAAAGCCAAGAGCGTAGCAGCAAGAACGTAGGAAGTAAGGAAGTAATGTTAGAAAACCAAGGGCGTAGCAACAACAAACAGCTACGTTCGAAAACCAAGAGCGCAGCAGCCAAAACATAGTAGGAAGTAGACAGCCAAGAGCTTAGCAACAACAGACATAGTAGGACAAAGATATGGTGGAAAACCAAGAGCGAGGCAGCAGAAACATGGTCGGAAGTTATGTTGGAAACCCAGAGCGAAGCAGCAAGAACGTAGTAGGAAGTAATGTGAGAAAGCCAAGGGCGTAGCAGCAGAAACGTAGCAGGAAGTTATTTTGGAAAGCCAAGGGTGTAGCAGCAAGAACATAGAAGGAAGTAATATTTAAAAAACAAAAGCTACGGCGTACTAGCAACAGACAGGAAGTTATGTTTGAAACTCAAGAGTGTAGCAACAACAAACAGGAAATATCAGGAAATTATGTTGGAAAGCCAAGATCGTAGCAGCAAGAACGTAGTCAAGAGCGTAGCAACAGCAAACAGGAAGTTATGTTGGAAAACCAAGAGCGCAGCGGCAAGAATGCACAGTATTTTCACGGGAACTCATTTGTATTTCAGTCCTGTCTAAAGAGCTGTGAGATTTGAACCTTCTCATCCCGTTCAGGTATCATGTCCTCTTGTACTCCCACTCCATGAAACCTGAAACCCCAAGGCCCCTAATAAGGCCCGCAGGGTCCGTAAAGCCCCTAGGGCCCGAAGGGGCCGGAAAGCCCGTAAGGGCCCTGGCCGTGGCCCATAGAGCCTGTGGGCCCGTTGGTGTTGGGAAGGGCTCTTCTCACCATGCTTGACATCCTGGTTCAATTCGTTTGTTTCTAAGGGACGTCATGTGTGAGAGTGCGTAGTGACGTAGTGACCAAGGCCATTCTGCTCCTATGGGAGGGATCCCAGAGCCGTCTTGCAAGCTTACTCCAGAGGCCAGGAGATTGATACGAGTTTGGGTTGTTTTGCGGAGATGCATGGAGCCAACATCAGTACACGCATTGAGAAGCAAATTATGCCAAAACAACAACCCCGTAATACGCCGTAAATTTGTGTGCAACACTTGGCTGGCGCCACATACATGACATGACTTGAATGTACCAGAGAACGCAAAAGCAAGCTGAAGCTGGTGCTAAATGAAGGGGTGGAAGAGACCACCCCAAGAAAACAGAGAAATGTCAGCCCTGAACTTTTGAGAAAAAAATAATCAGCCAAATATGAAAAGACAATAGGGAGAGAGAGAGAGAGATGGTCATGACTCATGACGCGTGAGGACACATTTTGAAAAGCTATAAGATGAAGACCAGAAGCGAGAAAAAATGCACAACATCCCGCTGGACAAAGTGTCTGGTTCATGGTTTGTTTGTGCACGTGAAAATCGCTCGTTTGTGCACATCAGAAGGGTTATGTCAACGTGCCAACATGTCAAAAGATGTTTTGCTTCCAGCGATGGCAGCTATGTCCTTGGTGCAGATGTACTTTTGATTTCTTGGCCGGTCCGGAGGTCAAGAGTAGCACGATCAAATATTTCACAAATCTTGGTGTGCAAGGGAACATGAACGTTATCACCCCACCCCCCCCACCCGAACCCCAACCTCACCCCAAGACATGATCAGGGTTCTTTGCTAGTGTGAGGACAGGAACATGAATTACACGAACGTCATCACCCGGCCGCATTGCACCCCAAGACATGATCAAGGTGCAGTGCTGGTGTGTGCAGGGGAACATGAACTTTATTACTCCACCCACCCCGCCCACCGCGCCGCACCCCACCCTAACCCCAACCTGCGTTGGCTTGGTGCGCGCGGATGTATGCTTGTGGCGTGCGTAGATGAGTCGTTCTTGGCATGCGGATGCGTGCTCTTGGCGTGTGCAGATGAGTTGTTTGACCTAGAAGCCAGAGTTGAGTGGACACTTATGCACATGTGATGTCATTGATAGCATGAGTGAATGCCATGCAGCGCTAGGTGAAGAGCCTCGTCCAACTCTTAGATCTTCAGTAGGAACTCGGGAGCTCCGTGCGTTCTTGCCTCGTGCATGGCATCCTGATCCCAATCAAAGGCCCTCTGCACATGAATGTTTGGACAGTCTGTCCGTCATGGAGAAGCCAGGATTGAAGCTCGAACAAAGACGGGAGGTCAAAGAGTAAGGCCATGACGAGGAAGGGCAGTAGGAACGCAGTGAAAGTAAGCTTGCTGATCAAATTTTCAGTCACAGATTTTCATCTTAGCCACCCCATGGTTTCTTATGGTTTCTTCCTGGCCATGGAATACATGGAATGCTAATCTGCTAGCACCCCTCCAAAAAACGAACTATATAATAATTGTTTTTTATTCCCGAGAGCGTCTGCGAAGGGTTCTTCGTAAAAAAGCAGCCGTTGTAATACATCTTCACACCCTCACATCTGCTGATCTAGATCTTCACACCTTCACATCCGCTGATCTACATGTTCGCACCTTCACATCTGCTGATCTACATCTTCACACCCTCACATCTGCTGATCTAGATCTTCACACCCTCACACCTGCTGATCTACATCTTCACACCTTCACGCCTGCAGATCTACATCTTCACACCTTCACATCTGCTGATCTACATCTTCACACCTTCACATCTGCTGATCTACATCTTCACACCCTCACATTTGCTGATCTAGATCTTCACACCCTCACACCTGCTGATCTACATCTTCACACCTTCACGCCTGCAGATCTACATCTTCACACCCTCACATCTGCCGATCTACATCTTCACACCCTCACATCTGCAGATCTACATCTTCACACCGTCACACCCTCACATCTGCAGATCTACATCTTCACACCTTCACATCTGCAGATCTCCTGTCGCTCTTCTTTCTATCTCTCTCTTAAGGCGGGGGCGGTGCCTCCCCTTATGTTCATACATTATCAGAAATGTAGGATCCACCCCCCCTACTCCTGAACCAGTTGGGGTCGGGGATCTTCTGTGTGTAAAAGAGTCTGTGTGTAAAAGGGTCTGTATGTAAAAGCGTCTGTGTGTAAAAGCGTCTGTGCGTAAAGGAGTCTGCGTGTAAAAGCCTCTGTGTGTAAAAGCTTCTGTGCGTAAAAGCTTCTGTGTAAAAGCTTCTGTGTGTAAAAGCGTCTGTGTGTAAAAGGGTCTGTGTGTAAAAGCTTCTGTGTGTAAAAGCTTCTGTGTGTAAAAGGGTCTGTGTGTAAAAGGGTCTGTGTGTGAAAGTGTTTGTGTGTAAAAGCTTCTGTGTGTAAAAGTTTCTGTGTGTAAAAGTTTCTGTGTGTAAAAGAGTCTGTGTGTAAAAGGGTCTGTATGTAAAAGCGTCTGTGTGTAAAAGCGTTTGTGTGTAAAGGAGTCTGCGTGTAAAAGCCTCTGTGTGTAAAAGCTTCTGTGCGTAAAAGCTTCTGTGTAAAAGCTTCTGTGTGTAAAAGCGTCTGTGTGTAAAAGGGTCTGTGTGTAAAAGCTTCTGTGTGTAAAAGCTTCTGTGTGTAAAAGCGTCTGTGTGTAAAATGGTCTGTGTGTAAAAGGGTCTGTGTGTGAAAGTGTTTGTGTGTAAAAGCTTCTGTGTGTAAAAATTCTGTGTGTAAAAGTTTCTGTGTGTAAAAGCTTCTGTGTGTAAAAGGGTCTGTATGTAAAAGCGTCTGTGTGTAAAAGCGTCTGTGTGTAAAGGAGTCTGCGTGTAAAAGCCTCTGTGTGTAAAAGCTTCTGTGCGTAAAAACTTCTGTGTGTAAAAGCTTCTGTGTGTAAAAGCATCTGTGTGTAAAAGGGTCTGTGCGTAAAAGCTTCCGTGTGTAAAAGCTTCTGTGCCTGCTGTGTGTAAAAGCCTCTGTGTGTAAAAGCTTCTGTGTGTAAAAGCTTCTGTGTGTAAAAGCTTCTGTGTGTAAAAGCTTCTGTGTGTAAAAGTGTCTGTGTGTAAAAGGGTCTGTGTGTAAAAGGGTCTGTGTGTGAAAGTGTTTGTGTGTAAAAGCTTCTGTGTGTAAAAGGGCCTGTGTGTAAAAGTTTCTGTGTGTAAAAGCTTCTGTGTGTAAAAGGGCCTGTGTGTAAAAGTTTCTGTGTGTAAAAGCTTTTGTGTGTAAAAGCTTCTGTGTGTAAAAGGGTCTGTGTGTAAAAGGGTCTGTATGTAAAAGCGTCTCTGTGTAAAAGCGTCTGTGTGTAAAGGAGTCTGTGTGTAAAAGCCTCTGTGTTTAAAAGCCTCTGTGTGTAAAAGCTTCCGTGCTTAAAAGCTTCTGTGTTTAAAAGCTTCTGTGTGTAAAAGCGTCTGTGCGTAAAAGCGTCTGTGTGTAAAAGCGTCTGTGTGTAAAAGCTTCTGTGTGTGAAAGCCTCTGTGTGTAAAAGCTTCCGTGTGTAAAAGCTTCTGTGTTTAAAAGCTTCTGTGTGTAAAAGTGTCTGTGTGTAAAATGGTCTGTGTGTAAAAGCCTCTGTGTGCAAAAACGTCTGTGTGTAAAAGTCTGCGATTGAGACATGCAATGGAATGATGCTGCCGAGCTTTTTCGGCAATGTGTTCAGGAATTACCATAGCAAAATGAGATAACACATGTCGTTCGCAGCATCATGGTACCGAGCCTCCTGTGCATTTTTGTTGCTCACATTATATTTCTCCATGTTTTCTTTCTACCCCCCTTTCCTTCTCTCTCTCTCTCTCTCTCCTCCCTCTTTCTCTGTGGTTGCAAGACACGCGTCATCTGATGCCCTTTGCCAAGTATCCTCTTCTTAATCAATCTTACTTTTTCACACCATACCCTTCCATAGCTCATATAAAATTCACCAACTATTCACCGACTATCTTTTACGACTACCATCCTCAGAGCCGCTTGAAAAACATCTTTTTCGCTCTCGGGCCAACCGTCGTCTAGTTTTTTTTTTGGCGCGGGCTCGTGCGCAACTTGTGTTCACCCTATTGTGTACACCCTGGAAGACTCAATGGCTAAGCAAAAGGTTCATTGTTCAGCACTAAGGAGGAAGACCTTCAAGGAAATCAATATGAAGTTGAAGAAGGGCACGGTACTGAAGTGAGAGATGGTCCAGTTTGACTGGACGCCCATGAAGGGTGTAAGTACAGATATGCGTGATTGATTAATGCCATGTGCAGCACGCAAAGTGCATGTCAGGCCGTATAGTGTCCGAACAAATCAACACCAATCACAGCAGCGATGATCAGCGGTGTTGCAAACCCGGCACTGGCAAATGCTCCACATTTATCCAAATTTGATAATTTGCACGGGCTAGCATGTGGTTTTGGCAACCACTGTGTTGCATGTTGTCTAGATTTTTCCTCCTGCTCTTGACACCCGAGTGGTACAGGTTCAGATAGGATAGATAAATCAGATATATTTGGCCAGCTGCTTGCGCTGTGAAGGAGGTTGAGAACGACACAGTCACCATTTGCTCCAGCTCGCAGCATTCATGAATCAAGACAATGGGTTGAATTCTGATAAATCCTATGGGATTGTACAGCTAAGCCTGCCCCAAGCAGAGCAAGCAGAGGGCCAGAATCGATTGATCAAACTAGTTTCTGTTGGAAGGCTTGGTCCTTTGAAGGATTTTATGTAGGAGAAAGACGCCCTCTGTTCACTTTGGCAGGGTAAGCAAATGAAAGCTATATATTATGTCCAGATCAACCGCGATAAACCATACTGCAGTAATTGAGTTTGTGGCAGAAGGCGCTTCTTTCCTCCAAGTTCCCCGGCCATCAGGGTCAAACTCTTCAAAGGCATGCTTTCCAACGTGAAAGCAGGTTGGGGAATATTTCAACCGCAAACAATACCTGGGGGTGCGGTTGGGGCAGTAAATGGATATCACCACAGACCTAACATAGCCTCCATAAGTTGGTATATATATATCATTATATATATATAGTCACGTAATAACCCGAATAATTACGGCCATATACCCTTCTGAAGTGAAACTGGACCCCAAGTAGCTTTCACGCGTTTCATTCTGTTCTCCTAAAACGCCCATGCCTGGCAGACGACCGACGCATTCCCTGCAGGAGGCCGGCAAACAGAGTTAAAAAAAGAGAGTTGCAGTTGGAGTTTCAGCATGTGTATTGTGCTTGCTGGCCAGAACCTACAATCCTTTTTGCCAGGTCCAATCATCCAACTATCTTGTAGGATCCTTAACTGATAATGGGGACATCCAAGATCACAGTCCTGAGTAAACTGATTGAATCTGATTGACTGCGTATATTGCATAACTTGAGCTGCAGTATTCGAACTTGTTTTCAACATATACTGCGTATGAGAAGGAGCCATGTGAACATATCATATATGAACTTATTCATCAGGATACTGTAAGATTCCAACATACGAATATACTAGATATACTTTGGGTGTCTTGAGGTTTAAGTCTACACCCTTCCAAAAGCTATTTGCCGGCAGCATTATCTCCCATATATTGAATCTGTTGACCAGAACGACCTGACGGCGGATCTAACCTCCCAATACCCCCCCAATAAAACAACAACTATCTTCCAGATCCAGCAAAAATGATCAAAAATGCGGGTATCAGCCCCAACTGCGATATACCAAGGGTTGTGGTGCATCAAGATCCAGCATTCAGCCGAGATTCACATTGAATCCAATATCTCCAATTATTTAATGGGAAGATTCTGCAGAGGATTGGTGCCGTATGGGAAGATTTTGCAGAAGATTGGTCACCCTTTCTTCACCGTTTTTCTGCAAGTTATATATTCATATCAACTGGGTTTCGCTTTGTGTCCTTTATCATTCCCCACCTGCCAGGTGAGGGTCTCTAAATTTTAACAAAGGTGCAGCTCATCCTCCTTCTCTTCGCCGCCTCTTCTCATCTACTTCTGTGCCAGCTCATCGCCGAACGCTGTGGGCTGCGCCTGGACCCGAACAGAGAGAATGCCAGAAGAGGATGCCAGAAAGAATGTCAGAATGGATGTCAGACGGAATGCCAGATAGAATGCCGTGGTTGAATGCCTGCGTAGATGCCAGGTAGAATGCAGAATAGATGCCAGAAAGAATGTCAGAATAGTATGCCAGAAAGAATGTCAGAACAGATGCCAGATAGAATGCGAGAAAGAATGCCGGATAGAATGTCAAAGTATATGCGAGAAAGAATGTCAGATAGAATTTCAATGTAACATGTATATTACATTATATACCTAGAGCTTCGAACGACCAGGATATTCTAGTACAAATGGGTCATTGTATTATTTTATGGTGATTCGTTGGAAAAAATGGTAGATCTTCAAAACGACTTGTTTTTACAAATTCAACTGCATTCGTCACATTTGGATTGTTTTGAAGATAATTGAGCTGAAAGGGTCCCGGAAGCCACCATATGTACCACCAACAAATCCATCAATCCATTCATCGATCAATCCATCCATTCACCATCCGCCAGCGCAGTGTAGCCGGTCCTGAGCTGCAACTTGGATGGCTCAGCGGCTGGGTGGAGTGGCATGCTGGCAGATCACATTTTCTTTGGATGAATTGAACTGACAAGATCAATATTATCAACAAATCCAATATCAAAAATAAGATGGTTCTGAAGCCTATATGGCAATGAGTAAAACCATGAAACAAAAAAACAATAGTTGACAGTTCAATGGTAAAACCATATCCAGCAACCTCCATGTGAGCCAATGAATGCTTTGCCCTGGATTGTGCTGGGTCTCTTGAGGCTGGGATTTCTTCGTTGAACCAATGTGTCAGAATTAGTTCACTTTTTGAGCAGTGAGTACGATGCATTTTGCATTGCAAACAATTATTCAAACGATGCATGTTGGCTCTAAGGGTTTGGAAATCATGGATACCAGGTCAGGATAATAAAGTTAATCTACCTCAATGCATTGATATCAGAATAATGTATCCAAATATGTTGCAAATCAAAATGGATGCTGCTCGTGCACATCACACTGTCAAAATGATGGTTCCCCGGGATGGTGAGCCGGCAATGGTTGATGATGATGATCTCAACCCCAGATCATCGACGGATCTGGCTCGTGCTTGGGAAGCCGTTGCTACTTTGCGCCGCAGGGGGCAAGTACTTCAACTGGTTCCATTAGATGCAAGTAGTGTTATTGACAATGCATGTATGGATCAATCAATTGAAAAATAAACGCATGATATATCGATCAACTAGATAGAAAAATGCGTTTATGTTTCAACTGATTGACCCTGATTAATCTCAAATTAATGCACGTTCCACACCCACTGGTTAAGCCTAGGTTCAATATGACGAGCAGGCTGGCATCAACCGAGACACAGTGGCCGACAATCGAGTACTGGTCAGCCTGGCCTTGCAGCATCTTGGGACTAGAGTCACGATTCAGGTATTGGAGCTTCACATCCAAGGCTGTTATGACCTCATGCGAGTCAATGCTTCTCGTACCTATGCATGACAAGTAGATATTTTGGATATTATTTCTGATGATGTGAATCATTTGGATCTTCAAAATATTTCAAAATCATATGGCATGGACATGCTAATCGCTTAACAAGGCTTAAAAATCCCATATTCCAGACTGCTTGAACCCCTTGAGGTGCTGTGGTCTCATCGCAGGCATGGGCCCTCCGTCGCATGATTTCCACATACAATGCCATCACTAGACGCCCTCATGTTCCCAGAGAGCGTGGTATTCGTCAAATCATGCATGAGCAAGGGCTGGATGTGGAAGTTGACCCACCAGTACCGCCACCGACCCTTGCTATCACTAATGGTGACCCTTGCGATGATGATGACGTCCCTGATGATGCTGCCGATGGGCCTTCCAGTTTTGAGGAAGGCGAAGAGTCAGAGCTTGATGACGATGTTTTGGTTGACAGTCTCCTGTCAGAGTTGGAGATATATCTGGATTGCAAATATATATGATTTGTGAGTTGGGTTTCACCTCGCATGAATATAACATATTATAGGATAAACGGCTTGACTTGCCCAGGTGATGCTGAGCTACTTGATGGCGAGCCTTTGGAGCCTGCTGCCAGTGGTGTGGTGCCCTCAGCTCCCAAAGTTTAGGAACACTGCCAAAAAAATATCCTCTGATGATGTATTTTCAACATGCTGAACAAGTCCTAATTTATCAACAAGTCAAGCATGAACCCCCTCTTTGTCCAGGTTACTATGCCAAAGCCGGTTCCTGCCCTGCCGCCCATGCCCAGTGAAGTTCTGAAAGAGGTAGGGATCAATCATGATGTGGTTGATTTCTCTGAAATTGGTTATTTGTAATTGTAATCATTCCCAATTTATTGTTGGTTATATGATAAACAACCTACCTGCAGGATGCTGGACCGTCAGAGATGCCTACCTCTCCTGCTGTTCACACACCGGAGCCAACAGGTGCAATGCAATGTTTGATCACTATATCAAAGTTAAATCTTTATATATCATAAATCTCAACCATATCATACATGACTTGGAGATACTTGGGGTATGCTGTGGCAGGTGTTACTCCAGCAGCATTCACGCCGCCAAAGACTGCTTCCGAGGCCCCACAAATAATACGATAAGTTTGGTGTTTCATTTGAAGATTAAAAACAAGAATCCATCCTGACCGTCCTTGCCACACTGTTGCAGGCCTCTATGCGCCATCAAGCTGAACTGTGGGCCTTGCAGGAGTTGCACAAATTGCAACTGAACATGAAACATTTGACAGAGCTCAAACGTTTGCAACATCAGTTGGAAGAAATGCAGAAATTGAAGCTAGTTGCAACTCCTAGTTTGCCGGCTGGTGCAAAAACTCTTGTGACTCCTGTGCTTGGAAGTGGAAACTTATTCCTAGTTAGTACTATTTTTTCGAAACAAATCATTTGATTTTTATGATATGTTATGTTTCAATGATCAATGACCGTTTTGTTGCATTTACTGTTTTTCCAGTGTCTGACCTTTAAGGAACCGACACTGCAGAGACTGAACCTTTGACCGAGACCAATCCTTTGACGAACAGCCAAGGCACTGCTTGGCCATGTAGATTGTAGGACAGGGTCATTGCCTGTAGCAAAGGTTCAACATCAATGTCCCATTGGCATCATCAGATTACCATTATCAGCTTGTCACCAATCTTTAAGTATCATCAATATATATATATATATCAATATCATCATCACCACCACCACCAGTGTTACCATCATCAAAAGTGTTACCAGCACTACCGTGGTCTTCACTGATATCACCATGGTAACAAAGATCATTGAGAACCATTATCATCAAACAAGGTTGGATATACATTCTATAATTGAATTAATCTATAAGGAGAATATATATATATATATATGTTTATATACATGCATCTGTAATATATAATATATATATATATGTATATGAGTACAAGGATGGATATTAGTCGACCCTATCTGGATACTCAATCTGTGTATTGTGTGCTGATAGGTTATATAGTGTTGTTCTGCCAATGCTTGTGCCTCAGGTGTTGGAGTGGAGTCAACGTGTCTCGAACCTGGGATTCCTACTGCGGCTGAAAGCTTACCCTTCACACTGGTGGTGTCAAAGCAAGTGAATGACTTCGAGCGCTACATGTGTGCAATGAAATGTTCTCACTTGGATGACTATGGTTTCGATATCCCTTTACCAAATTGTGCAGACCCCAAGATGGAAGATACCATTGGGAATGGGACAACAAATGCAACAGAGCCAGCAGATCAGGATAAGCAAGTTGCACAGCAAGTGCAAAAGACAACTGGACAATGCAAGCGCCCCACACCAGCACAACGCCTGGGAACATATTTGCAACGTGCCAAAGCAGCAAGGTTGGTAAAGGAACATCAAGCGAAGCACCCACCACAAGAGAACTGCATGATGCAAAGCAAGACATACCAGCAGCAGTGCCACCGCAAAAGCCAAGCAATGGATCCACCCCGACAGTCGAGAATGCAAATGAGCCAACTGATACACACGGCAAAACAACCACTGTGACCAGCAAGAACTCAAACTTCAAAGATCTACCCTCTGGTGAACTAACATAGCAATGGAAAATCACCATTTTTCATGGGAAAATCCACTATAAATGGCCATTTTCCATTGCTATGTTAGTTCACCAGAGGGTATACAATGCTCATGTGACAGCACTTCCTGATCTTCCCAAAGATTGGGAGGCAACGGCCTATGTCAGGGCAGACGAACAACAACCACCGAAGAAACGTGGCAGAAAACCAAAAGCACCAGCTGAGACAAAAGCTGCGGCTAAGCCAAAACCTGTGCCCAAAAGGAGAGCAAGAGGACCAAAAAAACCAGAAGAAACACAAGAGATGGAAGCATCACCTGAGGCAGAGGCAAAGGAGGTAAAGGCAAAAGCAGCAACCGATGAAGCAGAACCACCGGCGAAAAAGCCAAAAAGGGCATGCCCCAAATCTGGGCCAAGAGCCAAAAGAACAAAGACAAACACTGCACCTGCAGCAGAGCCATCAGAGCATACAGCAGCCAAAGCATTGGACATGATCCCGATCCCTACGCCAGCCCGGGCAAATGCAAAACCACCGAGCATGACAACCAGCAAGGCCAGCAACTATGAAGCACATGAGTTGGATGATGAATGCAACAAGTTTGATGTCTATGCTGTTGCTTCGGCATTGTCGGATGTTGCAAAGCTTGGTCACAGCAGCAGTTTGTCAAACAATGGCAACCCATGCAACGAACCAAGCAATTCTGACAAAGATGACACACCACATGGAGCAGAAGAAACTGAAGATGATAGGAAAACAAAAGCAAAACTTGAGCAGAAGAAACGCTACTCTCGCAAAAGCTGCGCATACAGAAAAGCAAAAACCGAAGCATTGAAAAACGGCAAAACCCAAGAAGAGGCGGCAGCAGCTGCTAAGAAAGTTTCTTATCTGTTAAATTAATAGTACGCTTTTATTTGTGGTTTATTCTAGGATGTCATCTTATGAATGGATCCCCATACAAACCTATGATTGTGCATTGTATGATTCATAATTGGATCCAAGGCCTATGCAGAGTGTGCCTAGCTGGCCGTTGGATTCCTGTGTGATCGCACATTGTGAGCGGCATTGACAACTTTTAGTGAGATTTGCGATTGTTGGTATAGCCCACTTTTTTGGATGAGGCATGTGTTTGGCCCCTAATCCTGGGCCTGGGTGAACGCAGCCTTTGTTTTATGCATTGCTTGGCCCATTTCAAGGGACATTATCATGGGCAGTGCATTTACATGTTGACACATGCATGGAAATTATCATGTGCACAGTGCTGCTGTGAGAACACGACAGCCTGCTTGATATCATTGCTACGTGCTGGAAAAATGCTTCAGTGTGGGATTAAGTCTTCTTGTTGGTTGACACTGTATGTATATATATATATATGCATACATTTGCATATATATATATATAATATAATGATTTATCAGTGTGCTGCATATGCAATGGCCGCTACCTGTGCAGGATCATGGGCCTCGAGAGATGGATGTGCCGAGTCTCATCCAATGGTCTTGCCAACTTGTTTACTATCCAACATGTTCAATGGTCAAAGGCTGTGATTATGTGATTCGAGTGCAGCATGGAATGACCACTTTCCAACCACAGCGCTCTATGGATGTAGCATTTGATCCTCGAGCACGCTGACATACACAATAAAAGGGTGGTGAAATATGATTGGTCGACACCAATCTCTTGTGGTTAGCCTTGCCCAAATGAGCTGCCCCAAGGTCTGAATCCTATTTTGACATGATGTATTATTTGAATGCACCATTATTAATACCATTCCCAGCATTCCCTGCCTTTGTCCTCTCAGGTCTTCATAGCGATCGTTGGGCCCCCAAGTTCTCAAACCTCAATGCCACTGAATGGATGCCATTTGTAGGCTATAAATTGAAAGTGGGTGAACCAAGGTGCTGTTGATCATTTGGAGTTGTGACACATCGACCAAGTACGAGCTGGTGGAGCTCTTTGCTGGTAAGGGCGATGTTGGACGTGAATGGAGGTTAGGTCATTGCAATCAAACCTTAAAATGAAATTTTCGATGTACCAACATTGAGCTTAATTAACGTATCGAAACCATTCGTCCCAACAGGTCAGCCGGACGTGCAGTGGGGCAGTTTGACTGGGACTACTGCCCTGCTGGTATGAACTTCACCGGCAATGGCGGGTTCGCGTGCATGGCTCAGATGGTGGTTTGGCACCCAGAAATTTGATCTTCCCCCCGAACCCACAATGTTTTGAGGGTGGTTACCGGGTCAAATTTCTGGTATAAAAACAAGTGGTCAAATTATTAAACTAATTCAAGTCACATGTTGTTTCAAACAAGAAATTGCCTGCATGATCATAAATACATCCATGCTGGACTAAGAACCGCTATCCAGATGATCCTTTGCCTGATGCCCATGGGTTTGGTGCTGATGGGACCAGATTGCTCTTCGTGGACAGTGATATCCCGTGGAACATCATGGCGAGCTCCTCATAACTTTTGGGGTAATTTGACCCTGCCATGGATCCAACAGGCTAACCTGATGATATCCAGGTTTCTCATTTGCACTAGTAGTGTATATAACTGTAATGATAGTCACCTTATAAAAACAAAAAACAAAAATATACATTACGACGATCACGGGCCTCTTTAATCATGATCGATGTCGCAATTGGTATACCAAGATAATCTAAGATATAGATTTATAACACTGTAGTTGTTAACCTCGGTGATGATTAATTTATTGGTTGTGATATGATATATAACTTAAGATATATATATATATGCATATATATATATATACAACTGGTATATTACGGTATGTTATATAATTGTTATGGACATTTCTATCACCCCATTGGGACACCGTACACCGTGCTCAGGTTGACGCTTACGATGATGCTCACCGTTGCCCTGGGCTGCAAATTTCTGTGTGAGCAGCCAAGTGGTACTGAGCCAGTTTTCGCAAGACATCATCGGTTTGAGGAGTTTTGCAATATGTGCTGCTTCGCACCCCAACAGCAATGATCAAATTATCATATAGTTGCTATTTGATATGTTGTAGTTTCTCTTCAAATCTGATGGTGGTTAAGAACAGTGATTTACTAAGGTATTCAAACAACGTTTCTGGATGCAACTTCATGGAGCACCATCGCCAAAACCAACAAGTATGTGGAGCAATGATGATTACATTCTTGATGGTTTGGTGCTTGCCCCAGCTGTGTCAACAATTCCACATTTTACTATGTTTAATATTCCCGAATTATCCGTATGGGCCTACCAACTCTAGGATCTGGGACCTCTTCGGAAGTCCGAACGTGAAGCCAAAACAACCGTTGAGACAACTCGATACTTGATCTTATTATAGCTATATTTCAGTTTGCAAAGCATAGTTCCTGTCTGTAGAACTTTACGTGTGTTTCCAAGTTTCCAACTACTGAGGAAAATATAAGGATGCACAAGGAAAAGATCGCTTCCAGGGGACGGAAGCATTGCGTACCACCCAGTGAGATACTTATGATCTATCAACGGTAGTTGTTTGAGTGAAACTATGAAACATATATGTCCATGTGTAGGATCTTTTCTGTCGTGCCCAGGGCATATCCTCCTGCTCTTGGCCGGGCACTCCTTCAGTTGCACGATGATGCCAAATGTAAACCGCAGTTTGACCTGAGACAGAAGCAGCAAGTAGATCCCATGTCTACAGATCTTCAAATTTTCCAGGGCCTTTCCCAGGAAGATTGCTGGGTGGATGCCTCGTTACCCCAAGTGTTTCTGTATTTGTACCAGAACCCGGCGCTGAAGATTCCAAATGAATGGGAAGCAGTCATGCGCACAATGCAATCGGATATGAAGAAATATGCTACGTGGTAGCAATCATTTTTGTATGCAAAATTCTGTCATGATGTTCAGTCCTAATTATTGTGATTCCCTTCCCCTGAGATTAACTCAGGTTGTGACGGAGGAAGACATTATTGCCCTCCGAGACTCCTGATTCGGTGTCAGCGCGTCAGAATGGGATATTTCTTGCAAACCCACGACCGATTTCACCCGCAAAACGCCCGCAAAAACCCGCAAAACGCCCGCAAAAAACCGCAAAAACCCGCAAAACCCAAAAAGTAGGTCAAATGGGTTTGGAGAAGTTTCAAAATTCGGAATTCTGTCATTAGTTTGAGTGGGGATTCCTGCTCAACATGGATGCCTGTGATCCACAGTGATCCATATTGATGTCTTTCGTGCACCATTGAAAAAATGATGCTATGATTTGGATGGCAAATGGTTTGAACAGAACACTTCAATCAGCTGAGATTGCAGGTAATTGCGGATTTGACATGTGAGCATATGATCAGGTGTCATACTCAGGATTCATTTTTGCTCAAGCTGCATTACGCCTTTTGGGGGGCCACATGTCAGGACAACCGGGGTTGGGCCAGTGCCCTTCGTTTATGGAAGGGCTATCCACAGCCGATGCGATGGCAAATCCATTGCTTCTGGACTCATGTATAGAAGTTACTTGGTAGCAGTGCATACTGAATATGCATGTATATATATATATATAGACAACATTAGACAACCATATACGGTCAGTTTGACATGATTTACACCCCGAAAGCAGCCTGTGTTTCTTCTGTCCTTCCATCCCAGGCGACAAGGGCTCGGATGGCACAACTGCAAGCTGAACTTGCCGGGACGTCTGGCATGGACAATCGGCCACAAGCTACAGGTCAGATATGTCATTTTCCATTAGTAAATTCAACTATGATGCAAATCAAATTCTCCAGTGAGATTAGCAGTCATCGATCAACTACGATGTACATAAACAATCATAAACATGCAGCATGTAGGACGTGGCTACACTGAAGCTCGCTCGGCTGGTGCCTTTGTACCAGGGTTTGGGTTGCAGCCTTTGAGGCCAGAGACGTTGGCCCGGCATGGTTCCAGTTTTGACAGTCTCCCATCATCTGTGCATTTGTCTCCCCCTGCCTCGCCTCTTGAACGGGGCGGCAGCGACATGTTGTTCACACCGCCACCAAGTGTTCTGAAGAGCCTGGCCGATTTCCATGTGACGAGCCCACCAGCAGGAGGTGAGAGGCATGTGGTTGATCTATGTTCACCTCCTGGCCATGTTAGCCCCAGCATGGCTCCTACCCAACCAGTGTCTCCAATGCTAGCTGGTTGTTCCCAGGAAACACTAGAGTACAAGCGAACCGAAGAGAAATTGGAGGATCTACCACTAGCTGAACTCAATTGACCCTTGTTGCGCAAACAGGAAATGGCATGTTCAGAGCCACCACAACCTGAGACGACACCCAAGACTGCAACACTGGAACCACCGAAGGCAGCAGAACCCGTGCCTACACCAACACCGGTGGCAGCAGAACCAAAGCAGTTGACCCAACACACACCAACAAGAACCGATGTCAGCGATGAAACAACACAGGTAGGAAACAACCTGGGTAGTGGGGACACACAAAATGCAGCACCAGCTGATGCCTCAACACCTGTGCACGGTGGAGACAAAGCACTTCCACTTCACCCGCCCAAGGTTGACACGCCAGTTGCACCAGTAGGTGATGCATCACAACATGTGCACGGAGGAGACAAAGCACTTCCACTTGACCCGCCCAAGGTGGACAAACCAGTTGCACCAGTAGCTGAAGCATCACAACCTGCGCACGGAGGAGACAAAGCACTTCCACTTCACCCGCCCAATGTGGACAAACCAGTTGCACCAGTAGCTGATGCATCAAAACTTGCGCACAGTGAGAACAAAACACCACCACCTGCCCCCCCATCTGGCTCCCAATCTCACCTACCACCGGTGACCGCGAACAGCAAGACAGAAATGTACGAAACTGGCACCTACTGGAAGAAACTTAGTACAATTATGTGTCGTGCACTGTTTGTTTTACATTTGTATGCACAAACTCATGTCACATGTAACCATGAATACCACTATGAAACGAATATGTCTTGTCACCTAGGATTGCGAGATATGTGAAAGCTGGAAAAGATGGGAAGTGCAAAGCGAGCGACAATGTTGTCAAGATGTTCAAAACTGAGAAAGGTCGTATCTTGGCTAGCTAATACGTTACAAGTTAGATGAAACACTGATTTGTACATGCATCACATGGTGCTATTAGTTTGCATGTCTTATTGGCATGCTCGATCAGGAGAACAACTCCATGAATTGCTCAAGGCTCATGGTACTTTCGACGATGTTGAATGTCACTTGCGGAAGTGGCAAACCGAAGAACAACGGGATCAGCTCTCTGGTGGGTGGCACACCGAAATTTCGTTAGCGCAATTGGGGTGGGACCCGTACCATGATTGCATTTCTTTCTGTCCCTGCAATGTAACACTTCTATGACCATAAAAATGCAATATTATCATATGACTCATCCATGACCTAAGGGAGATGATCAAGAACAGCAAGCAATGGGCACAAGCCCGTGGACTTTGTGAAGTCAATGAAATTCATGGCAAAGAGGAATGGCGTATTCCCACCACACGAATCTTTGAGCATACGAGATCTTCAGGGACTACCAGTTCTCAAGAGATTACTTGCCGGGCTCAGGACCCCTATCAGAAAGACCAATAAACAATCATGTGGTTATATGTAACTGTATCGTACTAGTGGATCATTAGGGAACTTGAACAGACCCTCTAGGACTCCACCGGATGCATGCTGGACACAGAACCAGACCGTCAAGCAATTGTGTACCTTGGGTGCATTTTTGAAGATCAAAAAAAAAATCATGGAATGAACATATATTGTGATATAGATTTCAATTCCCACCGGTACTAAGGGATGGAAGCCTTGATGGGCAACCAAAAACGAGCACAACGGCGATGAACTCCCAGGCCGCCCAGGCGGCCTCGAACGCGAAGATGAAGACGCTGCCTGCATTGCAGGTAAACCAAGATCCATTTGGTACATGGTCTGCACTGGACATTTCAAAATCATATTTGGTGGATCATTAATTTTATATATAGATGTACATCATAAACATGTTTTTATTTCATAATGTGAAGTGATCATCAACATATGAAACTTGATATTGGGAAATAACCCCATAGTAAATGATAACCTTTATATCATCACCAGATCCTGTACGATGTGCCTATGATGTGCCTAGGTCTCCTTTCCACATTCATTGATGGTGTGGGTAAGAAAGTGGCCAAATTGGAAGAAGAAAAGGACCATCTTTGGTTTTGAATTGTTCATTTCTGTCCTCATGTGGCAACATTGAACTACCACAGGCCTGATGTTTTTTCATGTTACAGGACCGCTTGGAAAACTTGGAGATCGAGCGTGCTACGAAGTGCTAAGCTCAAGCATGCACATACGTCGGGTCTGAATGATAACTCAATCTGTGCCAATTCATACTTCAATATGTTTACACTGTCATCCAAAACATTTAAGGATGGCCAACGAAGTTACACAGAAGGCTGACCAGTTCGAAGATCTCTACTCGAAACTCCTGAAAATACAGCAGTCAGCTTGTGTTGTGGGAGTCCCTGACAGGCCGGCTGGAATACTTTGACTGCATACCCAACTATGTCAAACATGTTCACACTGGAACTCATTCTTTTGTTATTCCATGCAGTGACATGCCCTGGCCAGTAAAGCCAAAGACGAGTTGACGGCCCTCATGGTCCAATGCACCCAGACCGATGTTGCTTGCAACTACCTTCTTGTCCGATCCAGGATTGAACTGGAATGGCGACAAGATGTGAATGCCATGTATGCTAGTGTATGCTGGTATCATCATGCCATACACATACCATCATATCAAACATTTTCATATTATATATCATAATGTGCATGGTATATGCATGATATATGTGTGGATGTGTCTCTTGCAGGACCATCAAGGCAAAGAAGCAGGCCGAGCCCAAAGCTTCTTCTGAGAGGGTTCCGCTCCGTGACCGGAAGAGAGGTAAGGATACAGGAGGAGAAGGAGAGGGTCAGTCAGCTCCGTCTACGGGTAAGAAAAAAAAAGGTCGTAAGGCAGATGTTGAAGAGGAAGAGGCACCGGCACCGAAAAAACGTGCCAAGAGATCCAAGAAGTAGATACAGTCATGTCTTGATGATATGCCTTTTTACCACGGGGCTGTGTAAATTTTGAATACGCATGTGCGAATATGTTCATGCAATCTTAAGTTAGTATTTGCTTCCATACAGCCTGTGGTGGCGTTTTGACATCATCCGGAGCCAGCCTGGGGGGCTGATGTCTCCAACTTGCAATTGGCAGATGAAGCCAGTGACGTGCCTGGCAGCGAAGTGAAAATCGAAGTCCGTTGCAACAATTTGCACACTACCATTTTTAATTTTTCAAGTGAAACTTCCTGTATGGTACTTGTATCTTTAATGATTTTTTTAAGGGTTATCCCATAATCATATCACCCCAAGCTGGTCATGTAAATACCATCCAAGATACAAGTACTATATATCATTGACACTTGATCAAATATATGATCTTGATATATGATACAACCGTGTGCCAGGCCGTGCTGGTCATGATGTTGGCTGCCAAGCCCTTGGATCATGAGACAATCCCTTGGATCTTGAGACAATCTACCAACATTCAGCAAATTGAAGTGCAGTATTGAATCCAAAATTGCAATGTTGACCCAATAAAATGTTGATGATTATCGGTTCTTTGAGAAAAAAGTGATGTCGCTAAGGCGAGTTCAATGCCAGCAAGAAGGACCCTGAGTCTGAGCTGGCTTGTGAGCTACTGCATGACTATGTTTCCGGGGCACCTTGCACTTTGATGGGGTAATAAGTGTTTCCTATATTTCAAACGTTTTATAGATATATGATATGAACTATATATTATATTATATATATTATATATATATAGTGATCCAACCAGCAACCAAGGCAGAATCTGCCAAGCGGACTGCAAAGATTGCCCGCATGGTGTGCAAAGTTCGAAACAAGAGATGCTAGCCTTCAAATTGGAAAATAATTGTTTCTGTTATGTTTTCACCATGATACCATCTACTGCATGACTTCACACCAGTAAGGTTGGAAACAAGACCTTTTGAAAATGATCTCGAAGACCGGGAACAGCAAACGAAATGTGTGCCGGAATCTTCACAGCCTTCTCCGACGAAACAAAGCACTGTTTCCTGTCGATGTAGATGTTGCTCCTGTCACGGTGGCAGTCAGGCGGCCAGTGTACCGAACAGAGGCGGTTTGGTGGCCTGTGCTACCTATGAGTGCATGGGTGAAAGCCCTTTGGAATGAAGCTCCATCCATGTTGTTGGGTGGCCATTCGAATGAAGATGTTGCGGGGTGGCAGTCAATCTTGTCCAATTTTTGGAAACAATATCGTTCTTTCAACGACAAGCACCCGATATATGCTGATGGTCATGACCAAAGGTTCTGTATCCCTTTCTTTCTACATGGTGATGAAGGAAGAGGACAATGTAGACGACCATTTATGGTTGAAAGCTGGCAGCCATGCATTTCGTTCAAAGGTACGGATTTCACAAATGAGTCTGGGTAACATGTCATATGTTCAACAAAGGTTTCAACATGTTTTGTCTTTGTATTCTATATCAAGTAGAAATCTATATGTCCCTTGGCACCGGCATTCCTATCCAGCCCAGGCATTCGATGACTACGAGGTTCTTCCTGACATGTATCTCATCATATTACTTCCACAAAGATGTGACCCTTGATGGATTACATGACTTCATTGCCGATGATGCAGCAAGTCTTTACCATAATGGTTTGGAGGTCCCTTGTATGTACAAAACATTCCAAGTTGATTTTGTTTGTAAAAACCCTTAAGTGGTTTTTATTTGATTGGTTTGATTGGTCAAAAACAGTAACACTTAGGTCAGCCAATCTTTAACAGCAACACTTAGGTCAGCCCGCGAATCAAGATTCGACTGGTTTGTGTGGGTACCAAAGGCGATTGGGTATTCCTCCGAAAAGCTCCTTGGATAATATGGGTCTTTAAGCTTTGAATGCTTGCCTCTATTATGTTAATATCACATTGGTCCCTAATAATAGTACAATTGCAACATATACACTATATTTTAAATTGATTTTATTTGCAACCATATCCCATAAAACATGGATCCTTCCCAGCCCAGGCCTTCCATTTGAACTGTGGGTTCAATTGCTCGGCCAAATGCCACTTGTGCAACTCCACGGACTGGCACAACCTTGGTGAGAATGCTTCATGGCGAGGGACATGTGGTGATCAGCGCCAGGGATCCCCGTTCAAACATGGTCACCGAAACCCATTACTTCGAATTCCAGGGATGAACAAGGATTCGATTTTGCCGGACAGCCTACATTGTTTTCATTTGGGCTGGGGCCAGGATTTGGCCGCGTCTGCTGTTGTGCTCCTTTGCAAATTGGGCCATTTCCAGGGTCGGTGTTTGAACTCGCGACTTGCTACTGCCTATGCCGAATTCACGGCATGGGTTGGACGCAGCAAAAAGACAACTGGCATCGACTGGTGGTCCAAGCTCAAATTGGACATGGCATCGATTCTCTCCCTCATATGAACATTTTTGCGGTGTGTATTTATTAATCAAACGTACGATATAATTTTATGAACCCATTGATCGAAACATATTTTTGAGTTTTATCACCATCAACTCTGAGGGACAATGATTGGCCTACATCACTTGGCTCCAGCAATGGCAAAGCTTGTGACACTGCATTGGTTCTGGGTTGGCTCGAGGAGTTCTTGGGAACCATTGATTCTGAGACTTCATGTGTTTTTATTGTATTGGTTGACTTTACTTTTCTGAGATTACCACCCCCCACTACATCCATTATTTTCCGAAGCACTGCCTCCTCAGGAATGTGCGCGCAATGACTTACTTCAAGGTCTGAAAGTTGCAGTGGTTTCATCTAACGCGTTTTTCCGCAATATGCGGGCATGTGGATTGTGGGTTACGGAACCGCACAGGGCAGTGGTGTTGGCCGCTGCAAAATCCATGTGTGCACCTCGACATATGGTAATTGTTTGGTATGTTTCCAAATGATAAATTTGCATGCATCGGTGTGCATGTGCTCATTTTTGTTTGGTATGATGTGTGGGGTTGTTTGGGGTTTTTGCCATTGCATGTGGCCCTAAGGAAGCATACGGGTATTTGGCGTCCAAATGTTTTACGATGAGAATGAAACTTTTTCGCCTTCGACCCAAAATTCATTTTCAGCAGCACATCACGATGCTTTTGAATCTCGGGGACGTTGGGTTCTCAGCTTTAAGCTACTTGGGCTCAATGAGGCACCTTTGTCCGTTTATCCACATAGTTTTGGGATGTTTGGGGACACCATTGTTGTTTTTCTTATATTGTTACCCAGGGTGATAGTTGACACAACTCAGATTTCTCATGCTGGAGTGATGAAGACTACATTGGTAGAGTGAGTAGGCTTAGCCGAACTTGTCACCCGAGAACAATGGCCCTACGTTGCCTGGAAAAGGCATTGGTCTTGTATAGCATTCAATTCAAAAAAATTCGCTGAAATTCAGCAGGTTTCTGTGGGGAAAATGTCTGAGTCCCGAGCCTGCCGGAAGGCGAACTTGTGCTGAATCGACTTGTTGTTGATCAGCATCCACGCATGAGTTCATCATTCATCCATTCATCTATTCATCCATCAATCCTGCGCATCTCATCCACATTTCAGGCACGTGCAGCTTGAAGGGATTGGGTGTGCGACCACTAATTGGGGAAACGATCAGTTTTGTATTTGCATGTTCAAAACGCCCAGGAATTAATGGATCGTCAGAAAAAAGTAGTACAAACCACATCGACCAAAATATATTGGGATTTTGAATCCCTAGGTATTTATAAATGCCATAAATACTTCCAGAATCGTCCAGATGGTATGTCAGCAATTATGTCAGAATAGTGTGTAAGAGTGGGGGTCACTCGAAGAAAGTTTCTTCTTGTTTTTTTAGAGTTTTAGGAAAGAGGCCGAAGATTGCATTCAAAGACGTAGTGTCAATGTTCAGCATCAAGATATTGGGGCAAGCGCGGCACGTACAGGTGCTTGTGAACCAAGGAACAGTTTTATGCATATTGTTCGGCCCATATTTCTGCAGGCCTACAGGCCAGGCTGCCTTCAAACACATTCAAACACCTTCGATTTTGAAAAATGTTGTGGTGTGTCATTCATGGTGCTCGTAGGCAAAGGCAGTTGTCACCTTTCTCACCTTTCACTTCAGGGTTCAGCCAGGCTCAATTGCTCAGTCAAATGGCAGTCAGTCCGTCATGGGAGCAGAGCGCAGCACGATCGCCAAAGCCGAGCCCCTCAAAGCAGCTGAGGGCCGACTGAGAGGTTTCTTTCCACAAATCTCTCGGCCACTGATGTTTTCAAAGACCGGGCCTGCTGCGTTATGGAGCTGCGATCGTGGGACTGCCGGAGACCTGAGTTCAGCGAGTACTCAAACCGGTCTGGATTCCAAAGACGATTTTTCCGAGCAGATGAGCTTTGCATCGATCTCCAGTCACCTCAGAGACCTGTCCTTGCTGGTGGACCCCAAGGAAGTCATTGTAAAGAAGGAACTTTGTACCACCTGCAAGAGCACAGTGTCCATTGCAAACTGGAAAGGCAACTTGGTTGCTGCAAAGCAACTGAAGGTTGATTATGAGCAAGATGCGGAGAGCAAAGAGAACACCATGAAGGAATTGATGGATGAAATTACCATCCTCAGTGAGATCAGTCATCCCTGCTTGGTCAAGCTTCTTGGGGCCAACCTGGATTCAGCCGAACCGCTTATTCTCACTGAGCTGCTTGAGAATCAAGATGTGGAGACACTTGAATGCAACATCAAGCCACAATTTTCAGGGAAGTCTTGATTGAAACAGTCCAGAAACATCCTGAAATCTAAAGCATGCAATGCATTGGAATGCTGTCGAACTCATTTCGCAGTTGTTGCTGATGCACAAACATGGCAATAGTTGGCTATGCAGTGGTATGATGCGTACAATAATTACTACTCTTCGATGTAATGCTATGTGAGCGGCTCTTTTAGGGAGATCCTTCTAGAAGGTTTGTTCAAAGGCTAAGCTGAAAGGTCAAGCACAGTCATAGTCCCAGATGCAGTGTGGCAATAGTCTATGTATGTCTATGAAAGTATTTCATGTAATTTCAGATGGAGTGCATGCGTCGTGTCCAATTTCATTTAAGATCAGCTTCTCAGTGAAATCATCCCCTTCAAACATCTTTAAACTGCCGGAGATCTTGCTGCAAGGACCTACATGCTCAAGCAGAGGACTTCCTCCGTCGAGGGTGTCTTCAAGCCGCATTTCAGCTTGGCAATGCGTTGGGCTTTGAATACTTGTGAGGCACTGGTGTATCTTCATGGCCTGTCACATCCCATCATCCACCGCGACCTCAAGCCGTTGAACATGTTTCTCACGAGGAGTTTGGAGGTCGCTTGAGCGGTTTGGATGATTCATGATGATTCAGATGATTCATGTATGCACTTCGGGTTGCCATTCCATGTTTGGCCTTTGCACGCCTTTGGGTGTGGTGTTTGGTGTCGCCTACCTAGAATGGAAGCAGAATGGGCGTGTGGATGGGTAGAGGAATGAATTGGATGGAATTGGTCACTGGGTGGATGTGGGTGGGCAGGAACATGTGGAATACATGCATACACATGAGTATCCGACAAAATTCTTAGCATTTGAAAGTGTCAGCAGTAGAGAGCTGCCTTGAACTTTGCTTGCCTTCATGAAACCTTCACAACCGATAGGGGACGACCCAGCACCGATACCCCTAGATTCCAACACGTTCCCACAATAATAATCTGGAGTAGGGTAGGGTGTTTTTTTCTACAGCAACGGCTACAAACAAGGCTGTAAACACCTACCTCAGTTCGCTTTCTCTTAGAGAGCACCAAGCATATATATATATATATATATTGTTTGCGGATGTTTGCGGCAATTCACGCACCATTCTCACCGATACCCCCACCGATACCAACCGAACCCATTTTTGCAAGTATTTTCACTTACCGAGACCATGCCCCACGTACTACTCTGACTCTTACTTACTATTGTATACTATTGTTACTACTACTACTACTGCTACTACTACTGCTACTACTACTGCTACTTCTTCTACTTCTTCTACTACTACTACTGCTACTACTACTACTACTATACTACTAGTACTACCAGCGCCACCACTACTACTACTTCTTCTACTACTTCTTCTACTACTTCTACTTCTTCTACCAAGAGGAGGAGGACGACGACTACTACTACATATACTACTGCTACTACTACACCGCTACTACCACACAGCTACTACTAGTACCACACAACAGCTACTACTACAGTGTGGTTGTCCCGCGGGGCCGCTGAGTGAATTTTGCCGCTTGCCCCGCTTGCTCCGCTTCTAAGGAAAATAAGTGAATCTTCCTCCTTGACCTACTTGCAAACCGAGGGAAGATCGGTGGTTCTTCCTGCTTGCCCCCACTTGCCCCCCTTGCCCCGCTTGCACTTGCTCTGCTTACCCATCCCCCGGCGAGTGCTTCGACTCGGGCGAGTGGGGCGAGTGGGGCGAGTAGAGCGAGTAGGGCGAGTGGGGCAAGTGCCCACGGCAAGTATACTATTACTATTACTACTACTACTACTACTACTACCACTACTACTACTACCACTACTACTACTACTACTACCACTACTGCTACTACTCCTACTACTACTACTCCTACTTCTACTTCTATTTCTACTTCTGCCACCACCATACTATTACTACTACCATACTACTAGTACTACTAGTACTACTAGTACCATTAGTACTATTAGTGCTACTAGTACTCCTAGTACTACGAGTACGACTAGTACTATTACTATTACTAGTACTAATGCTACTAGTACTACTAGTACTATTAGTATTACTAGTGCTACTAGTACTACTAGTACTATTAGTATTACTAGTACTACTAGTACTACTAGTACTACTGGTACTACCAGTACTACTAGTATTACGAGTACTACTACTTCTACTACTACTACTACTACCACTACTACCACTACTACCACTACTACCACTACTACCACTACTACCACTACTACCACTACTACCACTACTACCACTACTACCACTACTACATACTACTTACTACTTACTACTTACTACTTACTACTTACTACTTACTACTTACTACTTACTACTTACTACTTACTACTACTACGACGACGACTACTACTACTACTCCTACTCCTACTCCTACTCCTACTCCTACTACTGCTGCTACTGCTACTGCGACTGCGACTGCTACCGCTACTGCTACTGCTACTGCTACTACTACTACTACAACAACTACTACTACTACTACTACCTCCTACTACTACTACTTCTACTACTGTAACCTACTACTACTACTACTACTACTACTGTAACCTCCTACTACTACTACTACTACTGCTACTTCTTCTACTACTACTACTACTGCTACTACTACTACTACTACTACTACTACTATACTACTAGTACTACCAGCGCCACCACTACTACTACTTCTTCTACTACTTCTTCTACTACTTCTACTTCTTCTACCAAGAGGAGGAGGACGACGACTACTACTACATATACTACTGCTACTACTACACCGCTACTACCACACAGCTACTACTAGTACCACACAACAGCTACTACTACAGTGTGGTTGTCCCGCGGGGCCGCTGAGTGAATTTTGCCGCTTGCCCCGCTTGCTCCGCTTCTAAGGAAAATAAGTGAATCTTCCTCCTTGACCTACTTGCAAACCGAGGGAAGATCGGTGGTTCTTCCTGCTTGCCCCCACTTGCCCCCCTTGCCCCGCTTGCCCCGCTTGCACTTGCTCTGCTTACCCATCCCCCGGCGAGTGCTTCGACTCGGGCGAGTGGGGCGAGTGGGGCGAGTAGAGCGAGTAGGGCGAGTGGGGCAAGTGCCCACGGCAAGTATACTATTACTATTACTACTACTACTACTACTACTACTACCACTACTACTACTACCACTACTACTACTACTACCACTACTGCTACTACTCCTACTACTACTACTACTCCTACTTCTACTTCTATTTCTACTTCTGCCACCACCATACTATTACTACTACCATACTACTAGTACTACTAGTACTACTAGTACCATTAGTACCATTAGTACTATTAGTGCTACTAGTACTCCTAGTACTACGAGTACTACTAGTACTATTACTATTACTAGTACTAATGCTACTAGTACTACTAGTACTATTAGTATTACTAGTACTACTAGTACTACTAGTACTATTAGTATTACTAGTACTACTAGTACTACTGGTACTACCAGTACTACTAGTATTACGAGTACTACTACTTCTACTACTACTACTACCACTACTACCACTACTACCACTACTACCACTACTACCACTACTACCACTACTACCACTACTACCACTACTACCACTACTACCACTACTACCACTACTACCACTACTACCACTACTACCTACTACTTACTACCACTACTACCTACTACTT